CTTGAGCCCAGGAGTTGGAGGTTGCTGTGAGCTGTAATGCCACGGCACTCTACCCAGGGGGACAGCTTGAGGCTCTGTCTCAAAAAAAAAAAAGAAGTTCTATTTTGCTGTATTTTACAAAGACAGCACTTGGTTGGTTAACTAGGTCACACCCACCCCAAATTCCTCATTTTGCTTCAGGGTCCTTTCTAACTTGCTTGTCCAGGAGGCCCTAATTTTCTTCCACTTCCTTTCAGCTTCCTTCCATCCCTAATTAGGAACGTGTTGAGGGAATTGAGGTGCATTCGAACATAATACCTTCATTGGTGTAGTGCTTGACAGTTGACCACATCCTTATATATATCGATGTATGTTGTCTTACATGTGTATCTTGGGTAATGAAGGAAGATGGTGGTATTTCTCAGGTGAGAAAAGTTATTTGTTAAAGGTCACAGTGCTTTCAGGTGGCAGATCAAGGTCAAAATCTTTGTTACCAATGTGTGATCCTCAGTTTGGGATGCTGCCCAAAAGTCAATCTGAAATCTACAGAGACATTAATATTTTTTTCTCCTGTGGGCCTTATTACTATATATTTTATAGTAATCATTGCATAAAATACTTTACCTACATTTGCCACCTTGACTATTTAGTGTCATAATTTAGTAAAAAGTCTGTATTTCCTTTCTCTTTAGCTTTTGTGGAATTTTTAGAGGTGGAAGAAATGATGGAGTTCGTGTCCTTTTTTGTGTGTGTGTGTGTCCTTTTACTGAGTTGAGTGAAGTCCAAACTGTTTAAAGCAATTTACTCAGTGACTGTTCCCTTCTCTTGCTTTTTTTTTTTTTTTTTTAATTGACCCTCAGGCCTCTGGGTCTTTTTGTTGTTGTTGTTTGTTTGTTTGTTGCGACGGGGTTTCACTTTATTGCCCTCCATAGAGTGCCGTGGCGTCACACAGCTCACAGGAACCTCCAGCTCCTGGGCCTCTCAGTAGCTGAGACTACAGGCGCCTGCCACAAAGCCTGGCTATTTTCTTGTTGCAGTTTGGGCGGGGCCAGGTTTGAACCCACCACTCTCTGTATACGGGCCAGCGCCCTGCCCACTGAGCCACAGGCACTGCCCTTTGTTTATTTTTTGTTGTAGTTTTGTTTTGTTTTTGAGACAGTCTCACTATGTCGCCCTTGGTAGTGGCGTCATAGCTCACAGCAACCTCCAACTCTTGGGCTTAAAGTGATATTCTTGCCTCAGCCTCCCAAGTAGCTGGGACTACAGGCGCCCACCACAATGCATGGCTATTTTTTATTGCAGTTGTCATGGTAGTTTAGCTGGCCCAGGCCAGTTCAAACCTTCCAGACTCTGTGTGTTACAGGCGCTAAGCCTCTTTTCTTGCTTTTCCATATCCTTCGTCTCCTTTAATTGAGTTCAGTAAGTTTTGTTTGTTTTTGGCCACAGCTGGGTTTGACTGGGTTTGAACCTGCCACCTCAGGCATATGGGGCCGGCACCCTGCTCCTTTGAGCCACAGGCGCCGCCCTGAGTTCAGTAAGTTTTTGTAGCTGGTGCTCCTATCTGAGCATAAGATTACATCTTACAGTGTGCCCTTGAGGAATTTGGAATTTATCAAATTTCTTCCCTCTCTTTGAATCTTTTCTGATCTCATTGACTTTGTTGAGTAACCAGTATTCCCAGACCAAAACCAGCACTCTGTTACTTGGGTGGGTTGTTGGAAATGGACCTTGTGTTTTCTCTGTGAAAATACATGATGCTACATCAGAGGCCTCTTTTACAGTTAGATTAGACCCCAAAATTCTTTGCATCAATACTCTTTTAGTGTGACCCCTTCAAGAACTGAAAGTGTGTTAGAACTGACTGTGAATGAAGATAATTCGAATTCCTAAGAAACTTGATCGAGTCAGGGCACTTAATTCCTTGGTTTGACTTAAAAAGAATATTCCTTAAAAATAGGACAATTCCATTTTTCTTAAATTTTCATTGTGACTATTTCAGTAGGCTTTTTACAAGACAGTTGCCTCTCAAGTCCAAGTATCCTCATTTGTAAAGTAGTCATCTGTTGTTCTCTTATAGGGAATCAAATGTGGTTGATGGAGGTTAACATTTAAAATGATTTGGGCAGCGCCTGTGGCTCAGTGAGTAGGGTGCCAGCCCCATATACCAAGGGTGGTGGATTCAAACCTGGCCCTGGGCTCGGCGCCTATAGCTCAAC